GTGTGTGTGTGTGTGTGCAGGGACGCTCTGTTACTAAGAACCAAGCCGGAGGACATGGTGGCTCTGCTCCACACCAACCTGCTGGGCACCATGCTGACCTGCAGGGCGGCACTGCGCAGCATGCTGCACACTGAGGGAGCTGCCATTGTTAATATAGGTAGTGAATCCAGAGTCCTCTGTGATTACTGTTTGGTCACTAGGTGGCAGTGTACATGATTTCTTCTTTTAGAGTTTGAGTTTAAGTTTAAAGTGTTACTTTACAGGCCCATACGGGTATATTTAACATTTACTACATATATCTTATTGCAATTTATTTTTTAGTAATAAGCATACTGTAAGTTATTTGATGATGAATGGTGATGGGTTGGAAGATTTTTTGTTACAGTTACATTCTGTTATTTTTTTCCACAACATGTCTGTGTTTATGTCTCTTTGTTGTTTGCAGGCTCTGTTGTGGGTATGAGAGGGAACGCTGGCCAGTGTGTCTATAGTGCCAGTAAAGCCGGTCTAGAAGGTTTCACACGCTCTTTGGCTAAAGAAGTCGCCTCACGCAATATCAGAGTGAACCTGCTGGCTCCAGGTACAGTACGACTCCATCTCTCCTTCTTAGCACCTGCCCTAGTTCTTTTTTCTGTCTCACTTTCTGTCACCTTGTTCTTTTTATAGTCTTTCTCATGTCTCCGTCCTCTCTTGCTTCCAGGTTTCATCCACACTGACATGACTGCAGGGCTGAAGGAGGAGGACGGGGTGCGCTCTATCCCACTGGGGAGATTTGGCGAGCCAGAAGAAGTAGCCCTGGGGGTCCTCTTCCTTTTGGAGTCTTCCTACATCACAGGGCAGGTGCTGGTGGTGGATGGAGGGCTGCAGTTGGCCATGTAGAGAATGGGGCCTTCCTCTGGAGTCGCCTCAGCACTCAAAACAACGGTAGTGAGGCAGGTGAAAGCCTCACTCTGCCTTTTCTTGAAAATTGTATGTCTTGGTTAAGGCACGGTTGGAGACTTTCTAGGACATGTTTCAAGAACAAGATGAAGGGACGGAACAAAGTTTTTGCACAGGCTGTAAAAAGGCAGTTACTTTCAGAGGATCACTGTCCTACTGCTCTCTGTCTGCTTCTGCTGAGTCACTCTGTCCAGCCACAGTAGGCGTGGCCTGATGTGTCTGTGTTTGTGTGTGTGTGTGACACTCGATCATGACTAACACTGCTGACTCCAGAGTGTCTGGCCCAGTCCAGACCTCCGTGCCCTGAGGTCCTAAATTTGATCAGTAGATTGAAAGCTGTTGGTCTTTTTCCATGACTGTAAAGCGCCCCCTCATGTTTTGTTCCCCACCTCCCCCAGGCGACCCCCTTACAGCCAGCCCATGTTTCCCCTCCACCAGCGGCCCCCTGAGCCCACCACCTCTGGAGGGGCCTGTCGAGGGGCCAGACATGTTGGGCTGCAGCTGGAGGAAATTAGAGGTAGTGGTGGAGGTGGGGGGGGTATTTTTAGCTCTGGGAATGTTTTGAGTGTCTGGTTACAGCTCTGGACCTGTAGTGTGGATGGATGGGGTTGGAGGTGACTGTCATGCTCAGTGATGAGATTTGAAATGCTGCGTCGCTTGTTCCTGTCATTGAAACACGCTGTTAAGTGTCATAACCGTGACTTAAAGTGAGAAACTTTGATAGTGTTTTATGTACACTTGTGTCCTAAATGTTGTATTTTCTATGAAAGGATTAGCTTATGTTGTACTCAATACACCATACAATGGTATTTCCACTGTGACTAATAGTGTGTTTTCTGGCATTCTCTTATTGTTTTAAGAAGAGCCTGCCAGTTTTTAAAAACATCTCACGCTGTCTCTGAAGAGTTTGATTTTTATTAACTTTCATAACCTAAAATAATATCAGGAGAACAATCCATATACAGGCATTGATTGGCATAGAAATGTGCAAACACAGTAACTGTCAGCTGATGCAAGCTCTGAACAGATGCAGAAAAAGATGTCCACTTTGTATAGTATTACATAGGTGATGAAAATAGTAGATATAAATATACCTTGCCTTTCACTTTCCACCTGCTGAGTGTTTTCTACTGCTGAATACTGGAAAAAAAAAGCTGTGTTTTTATACATCCTGGAAAAAGTTGTTTGGCACTGTACAAGTGTCCAAAAATAACATGCAAAGAAATTGTTTGCATTAAGCCTAAAAGTGATTTAAGGCAGTAAATATATTTATAAAACTTCATGATACAGAAAAGATTGTCTTATCAATGAACGAAAGGTTGCTGATATAATTTATGTCAAGATTGATGGGAAAGCAAGGGGTTTTTTTTTTTCTCATACAAAAATAAAATGGACAATCTGTGACGTGTGTGACGAATACACTGAAACTTTTCACAGCACCCTCTCGAGTGAGAACATTTCAATTCACACTTGTAGATAAACCATTGAAGAAGGAAAAAAAATCACAATAATGACCCACCATCACCAAAGTTTTCCATATCTTTCATTTTTCTATATCACATCTTCACCTCTGCCGCAGTCACTCACATCCTTCTATCGAGTGTTAACTTACCACAATAAAGCTGATGTCCATCACATAAACCTGCTTTTTTTCCGTCGCTGTCCCTTCCTGTATCTGTTAGATCCACCCTTCCTTAAGTTCTGCTGCACCCACAAACAAACAACCCTCATTCCTTTTGCTAAAAAAAAACACTAAACATACTTTGTAAGGCCCGGCCTTTTCCAAAATCTGTGAACTAATCTAATCTGAGACTGTATGATACTGTGCTACACAAGCCCACATAATAAAAGTTTGTGATCTCCTTCGTCAAAGCTACCATGCTTTGAGTCATTCAGTCTCTTTTTAAGTCTTCTCCGGCATGTCCCACTCCTACCCAAAGTTGGTGCAGTGCTACGTATAGATACAGTATTAGTCTGTGTATTTCAAATGGCACCACTTGAACATGCATAGTAATTCTATGTTTCATTTCATTTTAAAACCTGTTTTTTTTATATCTTTACAAACATGAGGCACTTAAAAAGACAACCCTTTTCAAAATTCAACCGTACAGTTCATGAAACGTGAGAGCATATTTATGAACAGTCTTTCCACTTCAATCATTTTCCAGGTCCAGTTGATCAAATGAAGCATGGGGAAACAACTTGATGAATTCGGTAACATAATGAGTTGTGTCATACTATAAAAACATATGAAAACCACGGCTGCACCAGCTCGCTCTGCCCACCGACCCTTTAGTTTTGTCCCCCAGGTGAGGTGGACATGGTTATATTTGTCTCAGGACTGCTGGGAACAAGGGCAGCTTTCAGGGGGTTTTGTAGATGATGAAACGTCCCAATCCTTGTGCCTCCCTGTGGTCTCTACAGGTCGTCACTTTCCACCAGGCCGCCGGGCTGCAGCGGGCTGGAGTCCGGGAAGAAGGCCGCCTTCACGTCCAGCCCTCTCTCTGTCAGTGCGGCGTAGCGGCTGGTGGAGGGACGGACCTTCTTGGGCTTGGGGAGGTTAGGCTGCTGCCACTGAGCTGAGGGGTAGAGCAGAGGGTGGGAGCTTTAATAACGTGTAGAGAGCCATAGCCACACAACAAATACTGAGCTGTGTGTGTGTGTGTGTGTGTCTCAAAACTCACCGTGGACATCAAGACGTGCAGTGCTGGATACGATGCCGGCGTCATTCTTGGCTGACACAGTGTACCAGCCAGCGTCTTCTTTCATAGCAGGCTGGATGATCATACACAGGTAGCCACAGTTGTCCTGGTGCATGCTGGGAAAGAAAATTGACACAACATTTAACGGATTATTTAAATATTCTATCTTTTTTGGGTTCAAATGCAGGATGAAGAAAGCATTATTTAACCAGTGGATTTACCTGATTCTGTCTGTGTTGTGAGTGAATGACTCATTCTCTCTCTTCCAGAAGATTTGTGGGTAGGGAACCCCTGTGACACGACACTCCAGTCGCACAGGATGACCCTCGGCCACACTTGTGTTCTGCAGCTTCTCAACGAACGAAGGGGCCTTGTGCATCTCTTTGGCTGTGGAAAAGAGCAATTTTAACGAGGGGTTTTCTTGGTCCAAATCGTGCCAACATGTATCTTCTGCGCAGATGCCAACTAATGTTTCACATGTTTCTGTTTACCTGCGACAATGAGTTCCAGGTTAAAGGAGTTCTGCCCGGCTCGGTTGCTGGCGATGCAGGTGTAGATACCTGCATCGCGGCTGGTCACGGGCTCGATGACCAATGAATGCACGCCGTTTTCCCTCACCAGCATCTTATGGGAGGAGTCAGGGCGGATGGTCTGTCCGTTCAGCTGCCAGATGAGGTCAGGAGTGGGCAGGCCGCTCACCTACACGTGGTCAAAGAACACAGCAAACATTAGGATTCACTGAGTGTGTGAATGCTTCTTCAGAGTGCAGCCTGTGCTTGTTTCAGATGGGCAAATGAGTATATTAGCTGCATGTGTTCTGTCGGGGCAGTGTGTGTTTATTGGGAGTATGAAACAGCAGTGGTTAATCTGTCTGCGTTGTGTTTGTCTGGAGGAGCCTGGTCGCCTGCATGCTTTGTCATGGAAATAAACTGCACAGAGAAAAGACCCGTCTCTCTCTGCAAACAAACTTCCCTCATTGCCCAACTGGAAAAATGTGCCACTGTGGGTAGGCCTATGCATGTGTTTCGTTAAATGAACAACAGTCCTCAGATATCAGGAAGGAGAGTAGACTAAGCAGTCATAAGTCTTTCTGGAAGCGGCCCAATGCACTTTTAGAAGTTGGGACATTTTAAGCATGGAATATTTGGAAAGCCACAAATGATCTGGAAATAAATATTTTCTATAAATATCCTCGACATTAAGGGCTCCGAAGGAATGGAGACTCTCGGTTTATTTCTGACAAGCATAAAAAAGCAGCCTTTTTATAGTGAGTTAATTGTGGGTCTGTTTTATTTTATTACATGTACCAGTTTTCAAAGAGTTTCCAAGCGCTGTCGGCTGGAGGGAAGAAAGGTGATGACGAACGAGATAAAGAGAGAAAATGAGCGCGGGTGGAGGGAGTGGTGCAAAGGGGAAATAATTGCAGAAAAACCTGATCCCACTTAATCCCTGAAAAATGACACCTCTGTATTCTCCCTGTCTGCTTTGAGCCATTCGTAACGCGAGGAAGTGATGAAACATGTCGTCTCTTTATTCCCTACAGAAACTGGAATGCACAGAAAAGGAAATGTTTCTTTGGCAGTGCAGACACGGAGCCTCCCTGAAAGCAATACAGACGCTGAATTAAAGGGCGGGTCTGAAATGGCTTTCTCTATTACTATGATTAACATATTCGCTTTGGTGCGGGCATTTTCCTTTCCAGTCATGTCTCAGTTATTCTGAACCGGCTCTCTTTATCAAAGAATAGCAGCATGGATTGGACACTTTGTTCACCTACACGGTAGAAGCACAGGAGCTTATAGCAGAATATTCTAGACTGTGATCCCACTCGATTAAACTTACTGTAGAGGGTTAAAGTACAGATGGACATTTTGGCATTACTTGTCCACAAAAGAAGGCCTTGAAATTGCGGTCATGTATAAAAAGGTCTTCATAGCTTGACATGCCATCCCAGCCTGAAAAACTTAGTGTATAATTTGTCTTTTCTGCTTTTAAGTTTTTTTTTTTTAAAAATGTCCTTCAATAAGCAGAAGCTGACCGATTTTTGGGACTAAACACACTCAGATGACTTCTTCTATGAATCTTTTACCAGTGGAAGCCACATTGTGATAAATATATTTCATCTTAAGCACTGAAAACTGTGAACCTCAGCAGTAAAACGTCATCAGAGGTCTCTTCCTCCTAATCAGTAAATAACTGTTTTATATGGAAATTGTTGCAGCCACCATAGTGGCTGCAACACGCTGACCTTCCTTCCTCCTTTCATCACATCATACACTCTCAGGAGTAAGAGGTGTGTATTTACCTTGCAGTCCATCCGGCACAGTCGGCCCTCCTGAACGATGAGGTCACCGGGCGCCTGCAGGAAGTGGGGGCGGAAGTGGCGCTCTTGGATGTTATCGTTCTCATCACCGCTGTCTCTAGACCTGGACCTGGGCCTGATGGAGAGAGGGAAATGCACAGTATTTAGCCTCCTCAACTCTATACAGCAGGTCAGGACCCATGGGTGTTCCTGTGACCTCACCACTCTGCCGTCAACCAGAGAGGGAGAAGAAAGAGAGTGGGAGACACTGATTGTTATCTCGATCTCTCTTCTCACTCAAAACATCTCTGAGCTCATGGAGTGTTCATCTAGATATCAGATTACAGGTGGGGTGTTTTTGTATGTGCTGTGAGTAGCGTCTGATCTTTTGTGTTTTTTCCAAAATCTGTGCCTGAATGAATGCGTGCTGTATATACAAGGTCATTAGAGCAATGAAAAACAGAACAGAGCAAACAGGTGTTCCCTCTCATTAACACTCAGCTTTTCTTTTCTTGAACACAAAAGGGAAAACTGTGATTCAGCTCACAGCAAACATTTGTGTAAACAGCAGCTTCTTGGAACGTTTTACGTCAGAATAACGAACTGCGCCGAAGTGTGAGTGAGTACAGCCATCGCGCAGATGGCGAACAGCCTGCCGCACATGTGCCCGCCGTCGATATTCCCATGTGGCTTTTCTCCCTCTCCTGTCAGTCTGCGAAGCCTCACCTGCGCATGTGTCCGGGTGTGGAGCGTTGGCTCCGGCCTCGCTGGTTCACTGCCTGGACCATCATCCTGCCGGTGCAGCTCACCCTGCCCTGTGAGAGGGAAGAGAGACAGAGAGAGAGAGGGGAGAGCTTATGAGGTGTTGACACTCCACCATACCACAAGCAGCAGTCAAACCGGGAGGAGGAAATAAAATGTGAGTGTTGGAGCTGGAAAAGTCTGTTAGAAAGCCTGTAACACATGAACTTTTGACCCACATCAGGGCTTTCGCGATTTCCTGTCTCATTCAACGCCCTCTTCCTCTTCAGGCTGGAGACATTATCTTGAAACTCATTATTCTCTCGCTAATGGCCGCTTACATGTCCTGCTTTGTTCTTTTATGAAAAGGTGCATATCAATTTTCTATCACATTTGATGTATTGTTTTTTCCCAGCTCTGCACCCGTGAACTCACCTCAGGGTTGCCTGCCATGATTGTGTAGTTGCCATCATCATCCAGTGAGGCTGCAGCAGTGTGCAGAGAGCAGGTCCCATCAGCGTCCCGGCTGATCCTGTAGTGCTCACTTCTCTTGGAGATTTGCTTCCCATCTTTGAACCAGTAGACCTGTGACACAAGATATCAGACACGTTATGATTTAACCGACCTTCATGCTAAAATCAATCAACTGAAGAAAACCCTCGCTCTCTATCCTTCTTTCCCCTCTATCTCTTTCCTTTTTTTTTTCATCACTTCATTCTGAAGCCTGTCATCACCACATCATTAATGCGGACAGAGCCAGGCAGCCAGCCCAGGCCAGTGTGCGTTCTTGCAAAGGGCCTCCCCTTATCACAACACAGAGCATATGTACAATATCTACGCCCTCCATCATCAACATCACACATCAGCAACTCCCAAGCAAGGAAGCCATGCCATCATACAAGCTTCAAAATGACCAAACATTTATCTAATATTAATAATCGCTGCAGCATCATTGCCAGCCATGTTTAATCATTCAGGGTGATGACATTCTTTCAGAAACATGTACTGTACAACCTCCCACCTTTGGTTTGGGGTCTCCATGGACCTTGCAGGAGAAGGTGACCGGCATGCCCTCGAAGACTTTGTAGTGTTTGAGCTTCTGGTCGAAGGTTGGTGCCACCCCCTTGCCGGTGGAGTCTTCATCGTGCTGGACGTCGTCGTCTGATTCCTCCACCGGAGAACGCTCCAGACGGAATTCAATCTCACTGATCAGGCGCTGCTCGAAGCTGGACACTTTATATTCCTGCACACCAGCAAAGGAAAAAGAGAAAAGATTCAGAGAAAGACTGAGAGAGAGATTCTACGCTAGGTTTGTGTGGTCACAAAGGCAAGCACATTTAAGAGCGTGCGGAAAGCTATCAATAAAACTCTGTTTGCCCTATTCCAGTTTTTTTTTCACACACCCATTAACCTGTCTTCATTGTCACCCAAACTGCCAACTTTCTCCCAGTTCTCTAATACACTCTACCCACTCCTCCTTTCCAGCATCTCCATCAATCTCTCATCACTGTAGCTTTGCTGAGGCAGAGGGAACATCTGCAGAGCCGCATGGTCTGATGACATATCACACAGATAATGACAGGCCTCGGGCACAGCTGCACAACCAGCATTTATCCTCCTGAACTCACTCCTGCTGCTCAACGACAAAACACAGAAGTGGCCCATCGAGATCCTCTGAGGTATTATCCTGTAATAGCAGCGCGGCAGCTGCTGCAGCATGTTCCTTTCTGAAAATCTTACAAAGTCATATTCAACTGTCCTAATTGCTACTTAAATATCAAATGTAGCAAAGATGGCAGCATGCATTGCAGACAGAACAGTGCAATCTGGGTAAAACCAGGCATGCTTACTTGTGTTGCAGTCAAGCTTGAACATGCTTCATTATCTGAATCAAACTACCTGCACTGAACAACAACAAAGTGTAAAAGGTGAGACCACATTGCACACACACTCAATCAGTTCTATTCTGTTGTGTTTGTCACACCTGCCTGTGAATGGATTACATAGTCAATATGGAACCACAGAGACCAAAAAACAAGTTCCGTATTAATGCCCTTTGTTCCCTTATCAGCTAATTCCCAGGCCTGATCCTGTTCTGGTCAAAGTGAACACATCCAAGCCCTTAGCGTGACTTTGTGTATACATTTACACACAGTGACATTTCAGATGGAGTGAATGAAAAAGCGGAAGGTGACAGAGAGAAACAAACATTTTTAGAAACCTTTTGAGGGAAAGATTCTCTATCAGATGAACTATCTTCCTGTTGACAGAAAAAAGGGAGTTTTGTCTGCTTGTTGTATCACACCGGGTGGGAAACACAGTTATTCTGTGTGTTGTGTGTTTCACGCTCAATCTTACCTGCTCTCAACACAGAAAATTCATATTCACATGCTTAAATATCAAAATACGATGCATTTGCACCGATGCATTCCCAACAGGTTTAGAGTCGTGCTCAGAGCCATGCAGTGCTGCAGTGCTGCAGTGCCACAACCAATCAGATCACTCCTCATGCCAACAGGCTACGTCACACTGGAACGGCACCGCGCTAACTCGATTTTATGCATCAGTGTGAACACAATTTGTGTTTTAGTGACGTTAGCTATGTCTGCATTGTGACTTCACTTAACTAATCAGTGTGTTAACGGAGGATACTGTGTCATTCAGAGCCAGTTTCACCTCTGTCTACTGTCATTCTACATGCTGTATGTACATATAAATTATTACAAATGTTGACTGATACAGCTTGAAAGAACTTCACCAACCTAAACCAGATTCATCTTTTATTTGGCCCAGTTTTAAATGACAAAAATCATGTCAACAAATAATTTCTTCTGTAGGTTGAAAGTAGCCATGATGAAGGATTATATAAGCGACTAAACAAATACAAAAAAAAAAGCCAGTTCATCCGTGAATGAACAACCGACACTGTGGGGAGGTGCTATGCAGTCAGACAAATAGCTACACAAGCCTTCAAACAGCGTTACTCCCCAGCATGTTTGTAGCAACACTGGTTTCTACCAGTTTGCATAAACAGAGCTTTTTATGGAGGGCTCTGGAGGACTTTACAGTGTTTATACCCTGCTTTCATAACTCGCTCTTCAGCAGTGTTTACAGGGACTGGGGGTTGGGTGTGTGCTCGGATTCGACAGTATATAAAGGAAAGCCAGCAGTCATGGGATAGGAATGACACCAGCAAAGTAACAGTGGACAAAGCAGCAAACAGAAAGGTGCTTGTGTCGTATACATGCATATACATGGGATGTGTGCTTTAAAAAAAAATGCTGGTGTGGACATGTTGTCCAAACGTTTCCATGCTGGTATGATTTCAGGTGAGTGTGTATGTGTGTGATTTTCCCCTGCAGGTGTGTGGATCCTAGTAAAGAGCCACCGTACCTGTGTGACTGGCTCCTCCTCTGTGTCCTGTGTGTTTAAGACTGTGGCAGCGTTGTCAGCACCCAGCAGCCTGCGAGCCATCTTCTCCTCATAGGTTAACCTCTGGAAGCAGGGATTAATGGGGTCAGCGGGGGGTTAGTGTGTGAGTTGCAGAACACACACTTGTACACACCATCACATAGCTACTGTATTTGTTAATTAGGGATGTTGCTGAGTATGGAGAAAAACATTATGAATCTATTTGAGTGTGCATCACACAAAAGCTTGTTTAAATACACTTTTTAGTGGTAGTAAAACAGTTTTCTTGCATGAATAATTGATGACCTGTTAATCTGTGTTACTGAACAGGCTCATTCTATAACTGCCTGTAAACACACAGTTGTTTCAGTAATGGAGTAAGGACACACACTAACACAGACACACCTGTTGACCATTGCTTATGCGCTCCTCTTTAAAGCGCAATTTTCTCTCCAAGTCCTGGATGACGGCATCCTTGGATCCTTGGATGTCCGAGTCAGAGGTGGCACGAGGAGTCCTGGTCACCGAGGACTTCCTGGGAAACGCTTTGCTGAAAGGACAAAACAGAAACATTTGTCAGCATTAAGTCGTGGCACGCTGCTCTGTGGCACACATGCTATCTCAATGTGTCGCAACTCCTCTTTCCTCTCTAGTTCCTTTTTGCTCCCTCTCTGGCTCTCTCACATCCCACCCTTATCTGGACATGTCCAGCTATAGCATTCCACAATGTGTCTCCTTATCTCTCACAACTGCAGCAGGAATGCCAGGGTGAGAGGGGGAGTGCAGGAGTGAGGGGCTGATGAAAACTGATGACTGGCAAAGAGCTGATGGTGGAATGCCCTTGATGGAGGAAAAAAAAAACTTAAAAACTTAAATTTCTCTCTCCAGAACAGCCATCAGAAGAGATTTTATCATCAACTCAATATGAAGAGGCCAAAATCTAAATGCAGTCGCCCTGCAGTCCATATGAGCTGGATGAGAAACTCTGTGAAATGATAGATCCTGACAGCCAGGAACTTCATACAGCGTATACGCAAGTTAAGATACTGAAATCTGAGTGTCCTGAGTGGTTTTCTTGGCATATGGGGGCTAAAGCTCATGCACCTTAAGAACACTTTTGTGTCTTCGTGTGTGGGTTTGTGTGTGTTTAAAAGGGCTCTATAGTTAGCGTTCCTGTAAACATGCTGTATAAAAATGTAAACATGTCATCTTCCATCTAACAGACATCCTGCCTCCTGCCTCTAGTTGGCAGCAGATTTACAAGACGGGGAGCTCAACTCGCCTGAGACACAGTGTGTGAAGAACATACAAAACTTATGAAACATGACGGACACTATAAAGAAAAATCTGTACAAGTGCATGTGAGGGATACTTACACAGTCCCGTTGCCTTTAGGAAGGCCCAGGGCATTGACTGTAGGACTGGCAGGTGAAGATGGTGTGGAGGGCAGCACTGAGGACAGGAAGCTGGAGGCTGGAGATGGAGGGACGGAGGAGAACGGTGAGGACATATCTGAGTAGGCTGGAGACAAGGAGACAGGCAGAGGGGGAGGAGGCGGAGGGGGAGGGAAGTCTTGGGCGGGTCCTGATGGAGAGGACAGGTTACTGGAGCTGAGGAAAGGTGGAGGCGGAGGCGGGAATGAAGGAGAGGTCGGAGACTCCACACTGCCGGCCTTGGTGAAGGGGGGCACGGTGACCCTGCCGAAGGGCTTGTGTGAGGTGGGAGGAGACAAGGGGGAGGACAGGCTCGACCCCGAGGAGCCAGAGGACTGGGTGACATAGCCTGCCCCACCAGGGCTCTGAGCAGCAATGAACTGCTTGGGCCGGGCGTAGTTGAAGGTGCTGGCCTGCATGGCTGTGTTGTTCTCCAACTCCTGGAAGGAGGGAGGAGGGGGGAGAGGTGGAGATGGCGGAGCAGGTGGAGGCACTTCCTGAGGTGGCTGCTGAGGTGGAGGCGGGACTTCTTGGTTCTGGTGCTGCTCCTGCTGCTGCTGCCAGTTGGCGGCTTCCTGCTGTTCCAATAGAATCTGGTCCTGCAGCTGCTTCAGCTGGGACGCGTTCCTGCAAAGCGGAAGGAAGGAAGGATGATCAGTGACAGTTATCAGAAACTACAGTCATATTATATTTTCTTAAGGAATTTTCATTCTTTATGGGATAGAGGGTCTCTGTAACAAAGTAACACACTTGTAAAAATGTTACAAAATCATGCAGCTGTTTTCAATTTATGCATGACACCATTGCCTGGTCACCATCCAACTGCAGTCAGAACACAACTGGCAGAAATGTTGCTAAATGTGAGCATAATCGATGGAGAGTTAAAATGCCAAACAAACTGTTGGGACAGTCGAGTGAGGCAGAAACACAACGAATCGAGAACACGTTAACTCTCAGAGACATAAAACACTTTGAGGATGACATCAGCACGTGGTCATGGAGTTGAAGTGAACTGCTTTTCCCAGGCCCGAAGGCCGAATAGTTTGTTAGGCCTGAGGCAAAGCACAGTTATGTGGAAAAATTGCGTGTGTGTGTTAAGTGTACGTTTTGGGAAGGAAACCGCTGCACCAGCAGCACGGACTGATAGGTTATCAGCCTCTTGCCTTTAACAAAGACTTGTTAAATAGCCAGCCTGTTGACAATACATCAACTATGGTGAAGGAGTGAGGAGATAAGTGTAGTATTGACAAAAACAGCTCTGTTTAACAGAGCAGGAGCTGACTGTGAGCTGGTCTGGTACAGAGGCAGAGCTCAGATATGATGTTTTTCTATCTGAGAAATAGGACAAACGAAGCACACAGTTGAGGTGTGGCTTTGAATGGTATTGTGATGAAAGAAAAAAAAATCGCAACGTTTGCGGTGTCATTTTCCCAGGGATAGGTCCTGATGATGAAGTATTGTGTTTTTTCACAGAGGTGTGGTCATCCAGTCTCTCCCCCAGCTTGGTTGATTCACCATGTTGTCACGTCATTGTGGGAGAGAGGGAGGTTTTTAAATTTTGTAGTGTCATCACATCCAAATCTAAAGTTTTTATTTTCTCCTAGAATCACTGAGACAAACTCTACATGCACCGGGAGGGTTTATTAAAGAGGACTAACTTTGAAAACCACAAGACAGAAATGAACTCAGAAGCTCTCCGTGAGGACCAGGAGGAGGACATGGGTCTTTGGGAAAGGTTGAAGTTATAAACCTTCAGAGTATACAGCTATGTGTATGTGAGACTGATGAGTTCTTCATAGGCAGCCTGTTCAGAATATACTGTGCATCCCAGTGGTGCATGTTGTTAGGAGTCCACCAGGACCAAGTTCACGTGCCCAAATCTTTTCCAGATGTTGAATAATCAGTAGAGTCTTTTTGACTATTTTTCATCTGTGAGAATGCAGAGAACCCCCCCTCCCTATAGCCTCCCCCCATATACATTTGCAAACAACACCAGTGAATATTTCACAGAACTGACAGTTGTAGCATAGTGTAACAAATCCACCACACAATCCAACAGCAACATGACTGATTAGTCTGTCCTAGCCAGTTATTTTGGTCATATGCTCCCCTCCAGAGGAGACTTCACATGCCCAAATAAATAGTCGTTAATTCAAAAGCCTCCATTGCGATCATTCCAGGCCGTCGCAACCTGGTGCTCTCCTCACAGGAGTCACTGACCGCAAGAGCACACCATGAATTCAATGCATCCTCCTCCCTCTGTATACATTTTTTTCCTTTACATTCTCCAAAGGTCTCCCGTTCAGGCCTCCACCAAAAGAGTGCTTTTACAGGAATAGTTTGGCAGCTCGCAAGGCTCGCAGCGCTCTGCAGCAGTTTGATTCCTTTTTTGGCTGTGTTCTCGGAGCGTCGGGGAGAAGCACCCTGCCTGTTTGCTCCAGCAGAGAGGAAACACACTTCATTTCCTCACAGCCTCATCCCTCTCAACCCCCGACACACTGCTTTACTGCTTCTGCGTGAAAGACCTCAAAGACCTCTACAGCGTTTACATATGTTTTTGGACATAAGTGTAATATATAAGTGTAGTAGTGAGAAAAACAGCTCTGTCTGAGTGTTTCTGACATAGGTACACGTATGTAAATGTATGAGCCGGAGGCAGAGTGGATGTTATTCAGCTGTAACTGACATCACCCCTTTGCCTTTAAAAGTGCTTTCTATATAAAGCAACTATGGCTAAACAAGCACCTTCATTCATTACAAACTGCTGTGCAACCCTCTTACATTGTATCATAACATACTCTCAGTAAAGTCAGTAAATCCCTGATTTAGGAAGCATTAACAGGTCAGTATTGATACCCAACAGACTTAATACACAATCAAGTCATCCATGCATATTAAAACGAGACATTTGACTGATCTAAATACAGTCAGATTAGATTTGACTGCTGATTAGACGTTTGGCATACTTCCTATTTGACCGTGAATGAAAAGGTCAGCTTGTATAATTTACAGCTGCATGAATAGTTTTATGGCCCACTTAAGGATTTACATCAAGCAAAGGATGAGGGTCATCCAGACTCTGTGACCCTGCAGCCTCCAGTTCTGATGGTCCAGACTGCTTTGACCACAGAATGCAAGACAAGGCCGCTGCACGCACACTGTGTCCTGTCTTTTCAAAACCTCCTTGTGTAAACCATTATAAGGTATCTGGAAATGGCTTAGGAAGCAGAGCAGACCTCCATCTCTCTCTCTCTTATTCTTTGTCTCTCTGGTGGAGCGGGGCTGAATTAGGAGGGAAGTGTTCCTCTGTCGCCATGCCAACGGCCCTGTGTTTTGCTGTTCTGATCTGAGCCAACTGGCCCACAGAGCGCCGTGCTCCGCTAAGAGAAAACGCTCCAGCTCCTCTGTAACACAGCGTTACTCATATGTCTCTCTCCCTCATTGCCTCTCTTTTTCTGCCCCGACGTTTGGTGGTATAAATAGGCAAAGCAGTTTTTGTCTTCCCATTTTCACCCTGAAAAATACTTTCCTTGGGCTGGACCCTGTCTGTAAATGCTTTAATGTGGGAAAAAAGAAAGAAGGGTAGTAAAAGGAATCTGGCCCAGGGGAACTTTGTCTGTCCATTTTTTAAACAGATCCAGGAACAGCTTAACGGTAACTTAATTGAAAGTGTGTTTTACAGCCCAGTCATGTATCAGTCAGCTAAACACCGAGGCGTGCCAGACACAGCGGGTCTTTGCCGGCAGCATCTTGTTTTAATAAATGCAGACCTCAACATCTTAAATGGCCATGTTTACTCTGTGCCGCTTGTGTGTGCTTCCGGAGAAATAATGACCCAGGGTGCGTGAGAAACACATCCACTGTTCCACCGCCTATTGGAGCAAGATGGGAGCCATCCGCGGGTTTATCTGCTTAGCTCCTTAGCTCTGCAGCTGGCTGTAAAGACGGAGCTTTATTAGACTCGACCAGTTGATGACAAGAAGCATGCCAGGGTAGAACAGGAAGTAGTTGAGTGTACATAGCCAGTAATGAGGGGTTTCCTTCTGTAAACAACAACATGAGGGGAACTAAGGACATGGCTTTTCTGATTCTGTAGGTGTTTATAAACAGAAGAAAATTAGATTAGCATAAAACAAGGCATCTTCTAGGCTGTGTGAAGCAAGCTGAACAAGGTAAAGGCTTTAGTGGGTGTTCTGGCTAATTTCAGGCTATAGGCCCATTGTGTGTTTGCATTACACCTCCGTATGTTTGTTTCTGCAAACACCTGTGGCTTAGTAACAGCATGACCTTGCCATTTGTAAATGATTTATATCCAAATAGTCAAATTGAACTCTGGTATCACACCTACAACACAAACACAGTCTTGGAAACCCTGCCTGACATCATTACACACACACACACACACACACACACACACACAGAGAGAGAGCTTTAGCTGAACCGTGAC